TGAATTATGCAACTTGTAGGATGAGTATATTGCTCCCACAGGTGCAAACGCGGCTGGAAAGTAAGTATATGATTTCCTCCCACAATACCTCGCCCATGCACTTCTCGCCCATCTTCATTCTACACTGGTGGTCGGGGGTGTCAACACATGTTCCACTGCACTAGGATATGGTTTTTGCATATACTATTTTATTTGCAATTCAAATTATAAACCGAATTTCATTACATATACAGTTCAGCTGAGTTTAAACTGAGTTTAGATATACAGTTCAGCTGAGTTTAAACTGAGTTTAGACTCAGTGATAACTTTTTTTTAACTTTAGAATCTGGAAAATGTGATGTATCCTTAACAAAGACTCAAACAATACAAAAGCCATCAATGGAACTGCAGACGTTATTCCTTCAGTACACCGCTACTCTATAGTCTATTTCACTTTCTAACATGGAAACTTCCTGTTGGGTTTTTGAGGTGACAGTTTCTCTGTGCTACTGATGTAGCTGTATTCATTTCTGCAACCACAAAGCAGACATAGAGATTAAGAAAAAGTACACACTTATAGTTGTCTTAACACTTACATGCACATGTGGGGTAGATTCATACACATATCGGTAAAGCAAATGATTTTCTATTTTACGGTTCTATCTCTTTGTACATCTGAAAAAAGGGTAGTAGTGGGGACTTTCTTCACTGTTAACTTCTTGAATGTAATTTTTTGCATCCTATAAACAGTTTGCATCATTAGTAAAAGAGGTACCTGTGAGCTTGGTGTAGGTGAAAAAATGATTGCTCATTTTCTCTCAGCATCCAGAATGTGGACTGTTGAGAATACAACAGTGTCGACAACGCGTCACCAACTGAGCGCAACAACCCCACAACTATGCTAGTGGTGCAATGGTGTCATGACATCTAGTGTTGCTAACCCACACCTGTGAGGACAGTGAAAATACTGTCCTAAGATGACATAAACATCCATTAGTTTTTCTATAATGGTTATTTTAGGCTGGACCCTATCCCTGTATTCATGTTGTTAAAGTTTATTGTGTGTTCTTTTCCATATGATAGCTCTGGTTAACCCTATATTGCCAAATGTATGATATTTGATTCATACTGTTTCTGATGTCTTTTGGATCTGAGACTTTTTGCATCATTCAGTGGTAAAAGCTTTGCTCAAACCCCTGTTGTACACATTCAGATATACCTGATAACAGCCAGTAGAAGACTACACCAAAATATATTTCTGACTTATTACACGCTAATTTGATCATAATAATTTCTTTTTTTTTTCTTCATATGTTGTTGAGGGGCCAAGGAAAGACTTCAGACCAAAGAAATCCAATATTCTTCCTATTTTTCTTGGATCAGGCTTTAAAGGGTTAAAGTTAAAGCCTGACTGTGAATAACCAGTGCTTGATGGGAGGATCTGAGGGTATCATCCTAACATTTAGGCCGAGGAAGAAATAAAAATCATTGCAGAATGACCTGTAGAGATGAAGCCATTTTCTCAAAGTTGCAGTCTGATATTTCATCTTTGCTGGTCTGGCACTGCTTCTAATAATGAAGCTGCTCCACTAATTATTCAGGACTAAAGAAAAAAACGTAAAATAGGCTAAAAAAAAACGTAGGAATCAATTCCTTTCATTACTTACTTTCTGCATAATTTGCTAATTCCTGTATTCATTCATTATCACTATTTACATATGTTATTGCACTGTTGTTAAAAGAGCATTTGAATATGAAGGTAAGTAAATTACTTTGACTAAAGTATTAAATATTTGTAGAAATGAACTAAAAAATCTAATAAGTTTTCAATTCCTCTAGAACACGTGTTCATGAGGGAATTTCTTTTAACTTTCAGCATTAATAGAAACGTTTTTCTCATCTTATACAAGAATTTTGAGTTTTTTTATTTCATTTGGCACATGTTACAGTGAAACACATGCAATAGTGTTTAAAAGATAACTCATGATGAGTCTGCAGAAAAGCAGAAGCTCCATCAGCGTCACAAGCCTATTGAGTTTTAGTTGTCAGCTCTTTGGTTATCGGCCCTGTCTCCATAGGGAAGCTCTTCAAACCCACAACACACAATCAACTCTTCACCAAATGGTTAACAGACTTGGATAATGTACAACAGGTGTTTGACAGTGACAAAAAAACTAACAAGGAGATAGAACACAAATCTCACTTGTTGAGATACAATAATTCCACTGATCATCCACCAGTTCGAACCTAAAACATCCATAATATTTCTGTCAATTAAATGGCTGACAAATGCCTTCTGTGTTCATCTGTTGAATCAGATTTGATCAAGATATTGTCCTCTTTGGCTAAATGGATATTCCCACCACTTTTCCACTGTCTCACTGACATCTGTACCCTGTGACTTTAAAGCACATGACTTAAAATAGAGAATAGAAAAATGTCTCTAAGGAAAAATGTATCCATCATGAATAATGAGCTTATCAGTTAAAAGCGACCTTGAGTGTTTTTCTACAGCTTTCATGTCTCTTAGCAGCTTGTCTGATGCGACTGTCCGTCTGTTGCTTTGAAATGACATTATAAGTGTAATCTTTCGACAGGCCCATTAAATTTAATTGGTTCTGTCCTTTTTTTCCTCAACTGCAGTTTGTCATTAATGTATGGTTCTAACGATAAGTGATGCATCCAAACTGTTCAGAGATTATTCACTGCTCTCTATCATTGTGCAATATTTTATTCTTTGGCAGCGATAGGACCCATAAAGATGTAGAAATAGATATCATGATTTACAGTAATCTGTATGGTTTTGGAAGGAAACAGGAGAGTGGACAGCACATTTTGCAATTTCAACTTAATTTTAGTGAGGCAGGTCACACTATTCATGCTTCCTTCCTCATTTAGAGGAATCTTTTATGCTTTCTGCTGACAGAGCATTGTAATACTTCATTCAACAGTTTCACATCCAGGAGATGTGAGTGTTTAGGTCATGTCTGTTAAACGCAATACCACTGACAGTATACAGTACTTTTAAGCTACATTTTAAGGTATTCACTACTAAAAAAGATTAATGTACGAAAGTACATCTTTCTTCTGTTTCACCTTGATTAAGCTTGTGAGGCATTTTATTGCAACTATGTTTCAGCAATAATTATTAGAATAGAATGAAGAAATACTTTTCCTACTTTGAAATTAAACATTTGAGCATAGGAAAAGCTAAGTAATTACTTAAAACAAGTAGAAAATAACATGATATCTAGGATGGTTCAAACACTTGTATTTCTTTAATGAACATCTCACACACACATAAAAATGAAATCACATACAATTATGACACATAGAAAAACAGTAAATCCTACATTTGTATTCAAACAAACACTGTTCTCCACTGAAATGGTGATCCTATATCAATATTTCCACCTCAGTTATTCTAACGTTAGTAACACATTCTACAGCTGAAACCCACTTTCTTTTATTTGGAGAGTGTTTCGTGTGCTGATAAAATATATTTTTTAAATATCAACACAGCAGTAAAACACGTATATTGTATTTACCAATGATTGATTTAAAGGATGTGGCCCTCAAATTAAATCCTTGACTCAAAATGTATGGTTTAACTTAAATAAAAGCAAAGTTGATACTTGTTTCAATTGGCTTTTTTCATTGGAAATTGGCAGCAACCTCATTTTAACCCTTGGTTTCTTTTTGTGGCTATATCATAAACACCTGGTTGAACAAGTTCATGTGACCTGCAGAGAAATCAGGAGGAAATCACCACATATGGGTGGATAGTGCTTGGTATTTATAGTGAATGGTTGTAAGCTAAAGGATTCTGGTAACACCCTTATTTTTGTAAGGGCCACGATCTTTAGCATGTAAGAAAGGGAAGAGATTGGTGACTAACTCAGGCCGTGTCATGGGCACTGTAGCTGAACTCAGCAGTATTTGGACTTGCAGGTCGATACAAATAGACTGGACTGGGTTTAACTAATATAATTAAAATTTGTACAAATAATACCATGATGTTATGAACACACACTCATCCATTTTCTCTGCTCCATATCTTGTTTGCCTTGTTCAGAATTGTCCCAACTTTATGGTATAGCATATTGGCAAAAAAGACTTTTGTTAATGTCTGGTAATGGTGTTAAGGACCCCTCTACCGGATCCTAAGTGTCATTCTGTAAGAGGTGGCACTCCCAGGTCCAGAATTAATAACTAACTACTTTTAGTAACATGTGCGGAGCTCATAATTGTGAATTAGATTCATGGAAATGTTTCTACCATGTCAATTTTAGTAGCTCTGTCTTTGTGTTTAAAAGTATGTTAGTAGTATACAATGGACATATTGGATTTGCAACCATAGTTTGACATTACTTTTTAAAAGTTATCCTACTTTAACCCTTTAAAGCCCGATCCAAGAATAAAACAAAACAGAAAATTCCTTTTTTTGGGTTTCAAGTCTTTATCTGGCCTTTTAACAAAATATGTAAAAAGAAAAAACAGAAATACATTTTTTATTTTAATAATTTATTACTATGCGAAAAGTCAAGATTATTTTTTGTGTACTCTTCTGCCCCCTGTTATCAGGTATATCTGATTGTGTACAACAGGATTTTGAGCAAAGTTTTTACCATTAAATTATGCAAAAGGTGTCAGACGCAAAACATTTCAGAAACCGTATGTATCAAATATGATACATTTGGCATTACAGGGTTAACATAGTTAACCATTTCATATCATGATAAAGTAATATTAGATGTTCCACACTGCTTCAAAATATTAGGGCCCCTTGCCCTTGTAAAATGAAAAGGTACAGTCAAATGGTCAGGTTGTGTCAACAGCATCCTTCTCTGTCCATATGATGAAATCTCAGAAAGGAAATGAGTGTTTGGGGTGTCATTCTGTCGCTGCGTTTCCATCCGGATATCCCCACATCACAGTGCAATTATCCATCCGGTTAGTTTGGTAAGCTTCCTCTTTTTATTGTATAAAACATGGATGTCTGCTTCAATGAGATCAGTCTTCTTAAACTGCTATATTCACCCGTCAACATCTAAGAGGAACATCTGGATCATCTCAAACATTAGTCATGCAGCTGTGCATCAGAATACTGCCATGCGTGGCTCTCCTTTTTGGACTTACAGCAATGGTAGCATCTTCCCCTGGTAAGCTCACCATCACACATTTGTTACTGTACACACACACTCCATTATCGTCGAGACAGACATTGTACTGTTTTCCTTTGAATTGGTGATTGAACTGATTTTATTTTTCCTTGAAAATTAGAGACGAAAATTGCAAAATGCTGTACTGAAATTAGTGTCAAGAACATCAGTGCGCCCATTACTGGCTACAGGATCCAGAGGAAGAATCTACCCTGTGTCCGTGCTGTCATGTAAGAATCATTTCCTTACTTGAAGAATGAGTGTGAAGATTAAAACTTTTACCCAAAAGTAAAAGGCAAGCTTTCAAATGATAACATAATTGCTTTTTCTCCCTAGATTTCAGACCACAGAGGGAGAAATGTGCAGCCACTGGAAACAGGACTGGGTGTTTGATAAGATCAAAGAGCTTGAGTAAGTAGGACTATGTCTTTTTTTGTCCATTTCTAATATCAAACATTTCCAGGCTGATTTCTGAAGGCATAGTGCATTGTGTGCCAACTGTTAATGACTTTAATCATTTTCTCTTGGTCTTGTCGTTTACAGACAGGCCCGCAAAACAAAGAAGACAACTCCAGCCAAAACGCATAGCTCATGAATGCAATTCATCCTCGACTCTCCTGAACAGCATTCTGAATAATTTAAGATAATTTAAGAATAGATCCTGATGTTGATAATATTTAATATTTATTACAAGGATTATTACTTTTCTGTTGCGTCGTTTCTTTAAAGGTTTTTCCATTTCTTGTTGTACAAAACAAAACAGAGTGATGCAAATGCAAGCTGTTGTTTGTTTCAAAAGAAAAGAAATAAAGAGACTTGTCGTCACTTGTTTTTAGTACTTCATCTGGAAATAAGGTTATTCACGTCAAAGGAAATGTGGAGGGTTATTAATTTCCTGATTTATAGTTAATTGTTTGTGAAATGGAATTTCAAATTCAAAATAGCCATGTAAATCGAAAAATGTTTAAGGCTCAAGAAAAAAACAAATCTGAATATTATTTTCCTGCTGATCACATCCATATAATCCTCAACAGGCTTGAGAAGGAGAGCATTCTTCATCAGAATGTTTTTCAGCTCACAGTTCAACCATACTTTGGTTTCTTTCATTTAAAATTGCAAACTTGCATCCTAAAACTCAAGATACTAAAAGCCAAGATACTTTGAGAGCAACCATATGTTTCAGCTCATAAAAAGCTTGTGGACTGTATTGTCCCATCTTTATACGTATGGATAAATGAGGATTCTTCTACCATTGTCTCCGCTGGCAGTGAATACGTATCAAAATCTTTTAAGATGTTGACCGAATATTTTTCCCAAAGCTTCAGTCTGCCATCTAGTGGGAGCTTAAAATGATTGCTCTATGTCTCATTGTCTCTGAGAGGAAGACAATTCAAGCCAGCCTTTGAATCCAAGCCTGAAAGAACATCTTTACCAGTCACACCATATACTTGAAGAAACTCACTGTTAGCTAACTCAGAATTTCCTCTTTAGCAGATGGCATGGTTGCTGCTTTTTTAAAAGAAATTCGTGATGCCACTCAAGATTATTGGCCTTTTTCCGTTGATGACCGGATATCTACAGTTTCAAGGTTATGTCGGCAATTCGTAATCAAGAGTAAAGATTTTGCATGTCAATGTTTCAGAAATCACTGGCAAACAAATTTTAGTCAAAGTTGTAAAATGACCCTGTGTTGTACTTTAATTAAATATGAAACAATAACAGTGTGTGATCCAAGTATTGAGATTTTTAAGCACACAGACTCCTCAAGCGGAGAATTAGTTTAATTTAAATGCTCACTTAAAAAAAAAGAAAAAGCAGCTATAACGGTCGTGTCAAAGCTCTTTTTTAATCAACAATCTTTTTTATTGAAATTTCAATAAAAGAAAGATTTTTACATGTTGTGCAGCTTAGAAATCCAAACCAACTAAAAAATAAAGCTCTTTTTAGACAAAAGTTGTGATAGTTGTGATTTTTGCACAGCAATGCTAAAAGCAATTAAAAAAAAGACATATTTAGGGTCAGAGTACACAGTCCCTGCGGACATTTTGCAAGAAATTATATAATGAAAAGGGCTAAATTGCATGAGCATCAACTTCACTTAAACTTCACAATTGGCCCTATTTATAACACAGATTCAAATGTTGCCAGACGTTAATTCAATAACCATATTCTTTGCTAGTAAAAGCTTCTGGTGTCATTCAGAAAAACCTCTGTTGAATTGACGAGATATCCACTTCCATCTTGCACTGGAAGCTTTCCAGGTTTCTTCTGAAATGTTCCACTTGCAATCAGCCTACTCTTAGACATCCTCTTCAGCTTTATGCTAAAAGAAAATAAATCTTATTTAAGACATCATCAAAAGAAATTCCGTCCCCTACGCAGACATGAAACTTGTCTAAACTGAACCTGGATGATACTGACAGTAAGCTTCAGTCTCATACCTCAGGAACTTCAGAGTTTTCTTCACCCACTCATCCTTTTCGTCGGCACATATTGCATTCCCCTTAATGGTGTAGAAACTGTAATAAAAACACATCATCAGACACACAAAAATTGGTCAGGAATAATGGGGCATTTAATTCTTATAATAGAAGTTGGTGCAAGAGAAATATAGAAAAATAGAAATATTTTTCTGATATTTATGACTTTTAAACAATTTTCTCAGTGCAAAAAAAGTTTCTCAAATGCATTACTGATTGCTCAGTGGTACAAAAAACACAAAACCAAAATGAACATAATTCATTAAAAAAACGTTAATAAAGTCCTGAGTCTAATTGACAGGCTTTTAAAAAAAATATGAATGACAGAGTAAAAGACAGGAGAATTTATGTCAAAGATCTTGGCTTCGATCAATGAGAATTCAAACCGTTACTTGGTTGTCTAGAGTTGTGCTCACATTTTGGTCAATAAGAACTGCAGTTTGATGACTGAGTGTGATTGTGTTATGTAATTTCTAAGCACCAAACAGACTGAGAGAAAATGATTTATCATAATAATGCGTTTGTTAGCAGAACGAACATTTTACGAAACCCAAGCATTTGTCCCTGCAAAATGTTAACACTGTTAGAAATATTTTGTGTTTGTTTAGTCTTTTTATGGCACAGGTCATAAATAGATCTTTCTACGGCACAATTCAACTTTCATATACCATTTACTAATTTCAGAATAATCCAACCCTTCAGCCCAGTCGATTTGGCATCGCAAATGGGTCAGATGAACACAAGCAGATTTAGATACAGATGTGAAAAGAGTCTTACATGATTGCTTCCATGCGGCAGTTTTCCTTGATGGTTTGCTCTTTATAGCCCACTATGTTTCGGAATGGCACCGGGTTCCTGCTGTAACTTGTACAACAACCTCTGTTCGCATAGTCACCTACAAGTTAAATACAATCACACACCAAAACACTAGCATTAGCCGATTAGTACAGATGATCTCAGTTCTGTGTGTTATTATGACTAAACTCACATTCAGCTGGACCTGGACCGAGTGTGGCCAGGATGAAGCAGCAGAGAGCGGCTGCCAAAGTGGTACTTCTGGGAGCCATGTCGTTGAAGGAACCTGCAGAGAAATGACTTAAAGCAATACATCTCCATGTATATATATATATACTGTATATGTACCTATCCCACCTACATTTTTTCAATACAACTTGTGGGTCCTAAATTGAGGACAGGAAGCTCATTATTGCATCATGGAAACCAAACCCGCATATTTTGCACTTGGATTTTCAATTGAAGCTTTAATTCAGGGGACATGTAGGAGTATCACACAATACCTGCCTCAGCAGATTTGGTACATGTAACCTGCTTAAGATATTCTCTATATTTCCATTTTTATCTATGTTGGTAATTATGTTGTTAAGCTTTTTATAAACACCTAAACAAATTACACCCATTGCACTTTCTGATTTACTCTAAATCTCAACCATATTTTAATTTAAGGCTGCACCCTCAGCTCTCTGCCACACGACTTCACCACAATGTAGTCTGCTCTTCAACATTTGAGCCATTTTGCTTTGTGAAGTATTTCGGTGTCGATGGTGGTGGTGAAATCCAAATGCCTATTACATAACTTGACGCTGTAGCTCAAAGCAGTTGTAGTAAAGGATGTTTCGCAGAATCAGCAATCTCGGGACTGTTTTGTGGCGAGGACTGATGGAGTCTGCGGTGCTTCTCAAAATCCCCCCTCTTGTTAGCATGACCCAGTTAGTCTGCAGAAAGCTGACAACTCCACATTCACATCAGTTGACCTAAATACATCTTCAAGTCGTAAATGCTTCTTGGTATCCTGTAGCCTTAAAAATGTATATGTGTTAGATGTTATATGATGTTGGACAAGCATGTTACATAAAATACACCTATCCTTTATTGTAAATTATTATGTCACCCTTCCCTGTGACTGATAGCGGTTTTTAAGTGTGTATGTTTGTTCATTGTGGTTTTTACGATTGGAGTTTTCTTTTTAAAGAAACCTATTTAACTGTATACATTGTATATATGTATATTGATATTTTTATCCTGAAATTCTTTTAGTTTTATTTGTTTGCTCGGGGTTGTATTTAGACTATTGTTGATAGGATTTCTTCATGAATGAGTTTGAACATTTCAGGATGTTTGTATCAGCATCTACAGTAGATTATTATCTCTGTATGGGGAAGACCATTAAAGTGAAAGTGTTGGCAGATCTCTGATCGACACCTCTGATAAAGTCATTTACCTGAGTCAGACCCCCCCCTTCTCTTAAATTAGCTTCTTCTACCCATTGGGGGGCACTGCAGGCAATGACTAAACAAAGTGTAATAGACAGATGAGAGGGTGAGTAGTACATCTGGTTCCTTTTAGAGACCTGCATCCCCACCAGCATTGAAAAAGCGAGGAAATCATATCCATAAGCATTTAGGAGTTACTCAAATCTCCTGTCAGAAAAGAAAAGTAATGTGAAAATCTTGTCAGACTGATGTTATTATCATCTCTTCTATTTGATCATTTCTGTGTTCATGTGCATAGTCTTCTCTTTGTGACCTTTTGTGTGTACTGATAAAAAAGAAAGGCAATGTGATAACAAGGATATCTGCCTTGTTTGGACAGCTAATCCTTGTAAATCCTCCATATACAACAGCCCGTTATCTTACTCTTTGAAAGACACACAAACACTTCGTGTTTTGAGGTTACATTCTTGAAAAGGAAACCATTTTCAATAGTAATTGTCATTTTGTAGGTTTTTCTTTTTATGAAACGACTGGTTATGTCTTTTATCGCCAATTGAATCTTCCAATGATTATAATAGAAATGGGAACACTTGATATGAACAGATCTGTTTAAAACTTGGCTTGGGACCAGTGCCAACTCCTAGTTTCAAATTCCTAAATATGACAGCTCCCTGCCATTTGTATTTTCTTTTCACTAGTAGAAAACTGTGACAGATTTACTCAAGATAAATTCATACACTAAATGCTTTTTAAAATTGTTCAGCATTAAATCGATCTGTTCGGTTTACTCTGCAGTGGATTCATGCTGCTTTCCTCCTTGAATACACCTGCTTTTTGTTACCAGAACAGACTTCCTGAGAGGTGTGAGGGTGAGCCAAAATAGTAGTGCTACTGGCAGTAAAACCAGCATGATGCTAAAAGGATGATAAAAGCTTGGCACAGCTGAGGAACTGGTGAGTTCATTTCTATTAACTTCAAAAATGTGTTAGGATTTACACACTTCATCACACGTCATTGAATCGCTTTTTAATAAAAATGAATATTTGTGAATGTCTTAGAACCTTTTTAAAAAGTAGCTTTTGACTGACATTTGATTGGTGGTTCAGTTTAAGCCAACATCACAAGAACTCTCCTCTCTCTTCTCTCTTCATCCTTTCACATAAGAATACACACGATCACAAGACAACACAGATTTATGGTGTTATTTTGGTGATTGCTTTCTTAAGGGAGACTTTTTCTCCTCTTGGGCCCCTCTCCTCTTTTTGAAACACACACTGCTGGACACAGGACAATAAAGGAGATGTGGGAAGGGGGGTTGGAGAGATGGTAAGGAAGGAAGGGGGTGGTCGCCATTGAGTTGTCCACCCACACTGGACCCCGTTTGGTCACCTGCGTGGGTGTTGGCCGAAAGAAAGCTGAGGATGCGTGATACACTCACACACGTAGGCACACAGAAAAGGAACAAAACGGCAGCTTGCCAAACCCACATGTCAAAAGTGGCAAAGAAGTGTGGAATAAAAGCATTTTAAATTAGCAAGAAACTTCCTCTGAGGAAAAGAAAGGGGTATTGTCCGTATCCCTAAAAGCATTTCACAACAGAGTGGAGCTCAACTGTGAGAGAAAACAGCAGAGAGATGTTTTTTTCATAAAAAAAATCTGTAAAAGCACTTGGCTGTGGCACGATCTTAAAAGGAAAAAGGCTTGTTTATCATAACAAGCATTGTGCAACACTGTCAGACCCACGAGGCCCAAAAGCAATGCAGTCATCTGTGCTTTGTTTGAGAGTTACTGTAAACTAGATGTATAATTATGAGAGCCTAGCAGATTCTGTCCTCACCGTTTCCTCCTACATGCCATCTGCCCTGTGTGTCCAGACTGTGGGTGACTGAAGTTGTGAGGAATTATTGTGGCAAATTAGAAGAAATCTTGTGATGTAACGGCCGCAGTAACACTTTTGTTGTTCACAACCAACACTGAAACATCCACGGCCTCCGACACAGCGAAAAAGGAGATAACGGAGAGAAGGGGAAGATACAGCGCTGAAAGACCTCCGTGACATTAGGAAGTGCCCAGAGGTATTTCAGTCTGGTAGCGCTAACTCACGGCCGGGGAGACTCCGGAGGATACAGCGAGCCAGAGAGGGTGAGGAGAACAGAGTGGTGAAAACGTAGAAAGAAAGTATTTTTAGGGGTGGTCTGTTATCAGTGGAGAGGAAGGCGTGTAGTATCACTGCCGGGTCACATTGCTGAGGGGGGAAACAGCCCCTGCTCTCCACCGAGACAGTAGATAAGGGGGAACAGAACAATGTGTTTTCTCACTGTGTCGTACATAGACACAAAGGAACACATGCACACCGAAAAAAAAAAACTAACCACATCTGCAGGAAGGCACAATGTGAGTTCACTTTCACATATCCTCTTGCAGAGACTAAAAAAAAAGAGTCAGCTGTGTTTTAAGATCACATCAGAATAGAACCCCACGTTTGACCCGAGTGCGTTTTTACTCCTCTGACTGACAGAAAAAAAACGACATTATCGTAGAATCTCTTCACGGCGTTATTTGGTTCTCTCTGTCTATCTCTCCTCTATTGTAGTGCTCCTAAGATTTAAATGCCGGCAGAACAGATGGATGGAGGGAACATCTCATCACCCAGACGCCATGTTTATGCAGTCCCATGCAAACATGCACACAAACACTCTCCACCTTCACACTTGTGTAGACACTCCAAAGCAAGATGGTGATGGAGATCTCTTCAGTTATCAAAGGAAAAACACTTGCAGACGCAAACAATTTTTTTGTGGTTTGGCTTTTTTTGGCGTAACCTTCTGTCTGCCTCTTGCTTTGTTTTTGCCGAACGCACAATCCCTCGCAAGCACACATGAACTGAGTGATTTTCCAGACAAGCAGCTGTTATGGAGGGAGCTGGGTACCAACGAAACGCCTCTGACATGCTAATGGGGCTCCGTCGACCCGAGAAGTTCAACCACACACGTTCACACTGGGCAGATTGAGGAACTCTGACTATTATGTGTCACATATCCCAGAGAATATCAGTCTGGTTGTATGAATATTGAATGGGCTTTAGCTCCCAGGGTGATGTTAGCACTCCGACCGGGACTGAAAGCCAAATGAAACTCTTGTTCGCTCCAGGAATATCTTAGGGAGCCTTTGAGGGAAGATCCTTTTTCAACACCCAACACCCCACACCACACCACCAACCACCCACCTACCCAATCAAATCCTCACTGGCAACGTGCTGCTCCTCATCTCTTTTCCCTGCTTCTTTTGTTCATCTCTCTCTCAGCCGCCCACGCACCTACCGTCCCTCAGGCTTTTCTCTTTACACTCTCACACACATGCACAAATTTACATTTGGCTACTTTGTCTGTACTTCAGTTTATTTCTTCCTGCCCTCGCGGCCCCTTCGCCACTATTAGACGCGTGGAGCTTCTTTACGTGTGTCAACGCAGGATCACATACTCATGTATAGTAACAAGAGAGACACTTATAATACTTTCAAAATACAGATGTGTGGGCAGCAACCATCTGGGGCCCCCCGGATGAAACAAAAAAGTCTGGGTGAAATGTGTGGCACAGGGCTGAGGGGCCACACTTGAGGGTTTAAGGTTGGAGGCACATTGTGAAAACCCCCCTCCAGAGAGCTGGGAATCTCAAGGGAGAGTGGGAAAAACATCCCGACCATCATCAATCAAAACTTCGGTGACACAAATGACCAGAAACAACGGACCGCTCTCCATCCACGTCAGTGTGTCACCTCCGCCCCGCAGCCATGTTCCACCCACCTGCGCCGCGGCCCCATAGGCCCACGCCGAACGCCGTCCCACGCGATTGGCCCGTCGGTCCCCGAGTTAAATCAAATTCCCCTCTTGGCTAATTGGGTCTTTGTGATTGCGCAGTCGATCGTGGCAAAAGAGGGAGAATGAAACGTGAAAAACGTTATTATGGTGGATGAGGGGAGAGTGGCAGGTCGAAGCGAGGAGAAGGTTTTTTTGCCATCTCAAAGTGCCAGATGCTCTTCCTGGGTCCATTATGATGCTTTACGGGGGACCGAGATGGTTTCGGCGTAGCAACTGCGAAGACACAAAAGCAAGATGGAGACTGACCAAGATGCACACTCACACAAGCACAAAATTGAAAAACGCAGCCACAGACACACTTTTAGACGCACTCACAGGCACACACTGGCTTGTTTGAAACACTTCCCCTAAAAAAACGGCCAAAAACTTGAACATCAGTATCGTTTGTTTTTGATTTTCAAAAGAGGTTATCAGAACTAACATTTACTCATGTTTAGAGCAGACTAAACAAAGTGGAGCTGATGTCTTTTTTCATGTTTTGTTGCTAAAAGTAGACAAATGGCCGTCAAGGAGTAGATTGGATCTGCAAAAATGGGAGTGTTTACTTCTTCAAGCTGTGCCGCCGGTGAGAATGGCTGCTCACCAGAATTTTGGGGAAAGGAGAGAGTAGGACGATGGGTCAGGATCCAGCTCTTTGTCTCCCGCCCTGCTTATACACAAGTCCGTAGCCCTACGTCTTTTTGTTTGCAATTGCCTTTTCTTTATTAAAAAAAATGAATCTGCGTGTCTTTTTCCTTGAGTTGCCCCTGTGGGCTTTCAAATGTTACAAACTGCAGTTGGCAGATGGTGGGGGAAAGACTGAAGCTCCTCACTCTCCTGTTATAAACCTTAAAATATCCAAAGGGCTATTGTGAAGTGTCCCTGATCATTCATTGGGTTCCTACTTAAGCCATCAATAGGTGGCGCTGTAGTCACACTGTTCCTGAGTGTTGTCACCCTTTTAAGGACAAAGAGCCTCCTACAACCTCAGTCGAATTCAGTGCTAGCCAGAACCTTATTGGGGAAACTGAGACACATTCATGTTTTTGAAATCCATGCGACAGTTTTTTTTTCTTTTCTTCTTTTGTCTAAAAAAGCGTGGTTGTTGTGACGTGTGTGACCCCGTGCCTGCAGGCGTCCTTTAGGTTATCTCTGGTAAATGCCACTCACTGAGGCGAGATAGTAAAAGTCTGGGAGAGGAGTATTTTTTTTCTGAGCGCACCCTCTGACATATTCTGCTAGATAAGTGATTTTCAAGTGAGGGTCATGGTTGGAGATGAGCAGGATTTTATCTCCACGCGCAAAATCTGGCAGATAAGTTACTATCGGGCTTTACATGTTTGCTTGGGTTGTTAAATATATATATAAAAAAAACACTTATAGGAACGTTTTCCATCTGCTGCTCCCCAAAACTTCCAAATAAACATTGAATCAGCAAAGTGGGGTGCTGCTAAACTATTCAGTCACTAATATCAGATATCAGAGGATAGATAACGCACGGACCTTAACGTGGGTCAGTGCACTGAGCGTCATTAGGCTCATGTCATTTACCATTAGGGGAAGCCTCCAAGTGGAAGAGACCGCCCCAGAATCCGCCGCTCTGCGTACAACTCGCCTTCACACTTGCTTTTCATTCACACAGACTTTTTCCCACCGGGATGGAGCCGCTTCAGCCTGCGCGCAGAGCCAGCGGGAAGCCCGCACGCTTCCGCACGGCACACATGGCCTCGCACTTATGGCGAACGTTTTCCTCCTACATCTGGATAGTAACGCTAGTTTCAAGTTCGAGGACGAGGATTTATCCACCCAACGAAGGTAAGTGAGCAAGGGAATGGTTTCTCTCTCTGAGACTTCAGTGTTTTTTGCGCAAATGAGCGCTGGAGGAGGCAGCGCGTGCGCTCCTGGGAGCATCCTGGGACGATTATGAACTATGAAAAATTTTCCCAGGAATAAAACGCGTTTATTGAAAGGGTCCATTTTGAAATAATTTTTTCGTTGTCCTGGATTCTGGTGGAATTGTGCTTCGAATGACTTAAGCTGCTGCTTTTCCCTTACAGTTCTATCCCCCAAAATGTTTTTAATAAATACCTCAGTTGACTATATTGACGCTCCCTGTACATTTAGAAGAAAAAATGTTCCATTCAGAATTTCAGTTGGAAACCTTTACATAAATTCTTACAAGCTGTTTTTTGTTTTGTGCCTTGAAGAATGTCGGCTCACCCCTAAATCGGGCATTTTTTAGAATACATTGGTCCCCACTATGGGGTTAGGGTTAGTGATTGATTTAGGCCTTATTTAGTGTGATGTGTGTTATATAAGTTTTTTTTTTAATCCTCTTACTCATTGTGGACTCATTGTTCTTGAAACACTTGTATGTATGTATATGTGCATTTCTAGTGACCCTGTTGGATACCAGGACAGTTCCAGGAGAACTGAAATGGGCTGCCAGTCCTTCAGAGGGAGGGGTGAGTAGGAGCTTTTTCTTTCAAATACACTGTTTATAACAGTCTCTCTTTAGAAAAAAAAAACACACTTTCTCTCTCACTCACACCAACACTCACACACATACTTGTACAGGCTTGGTCTGGAAGCTGTAAATAATCATCCCACAGATTTTGCTAAGTGCTGTTGTTCACCAAGCCTAAGTGCTAATATGAGATCGCTGGCGTTGTGTTTGGCACAAGCAAAAACACAAACCAGCTTGATGGTGGGTGTCCTTTTTTAGGGATTTGTACTACTCAGGAGTTGCCAGAATAAATCTTGGAGATATCTATTTTACATTTCATCATCCCAGGATTTTTCTGCAAAAACATGCCTTTTCTTTTTTTTCCTTTCTCTGCCCATTTTGTTGGTTTAAGCCTTATTTGTGAACTTGAATCGTATTTCTTCAATCACCATGCGCTCATTTTCTCACATACGGCTTGACTGACAAGGTCCTGGTCTGTGCGTACTGAGCTTTTGATTACAAGCACCCCCTGCCTTCCTCATCCCTCGGCTACACACACACACACACACACAGACACATATGTGGAAAACTCAATTTCTTAAAGGCTGAGACGAGTGCAAAGCTTTCTTTCCCCGACAGCTGTGATTTCTGTCTGCTGACAAAAACTCCGAAGGAGGCATCATACTTCATGTCAGCTTTTATGCTGCCGTCTTGCTCAATGTACACTTACCCTGCAAAAACATTGCAATATATCCAAAACAGCCACAATGCTTGAAGATACTGACACAGTGGAGACCAGACAGTTGAAGATCAGCCTGGATTATATAGCTCTTCTAATGTGTATCTGTCCCCATAAAACTTTATTATCAGATATAGCCTAAATTCATTGTAGTTTCAACCTTATGTTGCCAGAGAAATTAAAAATGACATGTCTGTAATGAACCTGTATGGTACACAGTTGACATATCGATCAAGTTAAGGACACACTCTCAAACAAAGACACCCCCCCCCCCAACCCCCCTTTACCCCAAACACACACAGATTCTGTCATTCTCTGAGTCTCTGTCTTTTTATCCTCTCTGGACACGGTATATTTAGTGTGTATATAGCTCTCACTAGTAGGGAGAGAGCAAATTATTATTCAGTGGCAATAAAAAGCCAATTTGGAGTTGGGAGGCTCAGCGGTCATTTGAAGGGTCACAGTACAAGGCAAATAATCAGCCCTATTGAGATGGATGGTGCAGTGAAGGTTGAGCCAGCTTCACTTGTATGGAAATGTGCCCGCAGGAGCCTTGAACTCACAATAAATGGAGCCGCTGTCCACTGCAGAATGCTGTGCTGTGGACGTTTTAAATGAGGCAGTAAGATGTATGCACTACAGCATTTGAAATGTTTTCGATGTTTACATTCTGCATTAACAAGACCAAAAAAGATCCTCAAGTGAACCGTGTGAATTTGACCCGTCAAATAGTTCTTTTGGTCCTAGAAAATTTGTGTCAGAGATATCTTTTCAGTCTCCGTTTAAATGGATACTGCGTGTAAAAACTCCTACAGAAGCATTGTTTTTATTCTCTAAACAACAAGTAAAAGTCTTGAACTTCTTCTATTTTTTTTTTCTGCTGACTTCTACCGAAATTATAAAATGAGGTGTGGCTGCCTGCAGGGTTCCATCTTGCCCTTTTGGAAGACTCTGTTCTTGTCGTCTACTTCAAATCTTAAATCATTTACCACTTAATAACCAACTGTGTGTTTTAATTTTTTAAAAATAAGTCACGAAAATCTGCCATCATCCAGGTTCTTTGCTATTTTCTGTAATAGAAAATCACTTACATAGAAATAACTGCTCTTTTTTTCTAATTACTGTTTCTTTTGGAGAATTACAGTCACTAACCAGCAGCACAGCCTATACCACCACCATCTGGTGACCCTACACAGCCTTGTTTGTTGACGCAAAACCAGTCAATTGTTTTGGCAGATTTTCAAGATTTTCAGTCGTTTTATGTCGGCTGCACAACTGTACCCAGGTTTTCAAAGAACATCTACTTCCTCGAAGTTTCAATAGTTGACAGATAGTTAACTTTCAATTATGTTTGCATGAAGAGAAACAAATGAGTTCCTGGAAAACGGGCTTTCAGTCAGAAAGCCCGTATGGGGAATTATCTGCAATTAAATCCAAATTTTCATCAAGTTAAAACAAAATATCCCTCTCTCTAATGCAGTATAAAATCTGTTTATTTGAAGTGGGAGGAAGTGAGCATTATGGATGAGAAGAACATCCCCATCAGGACATACCAGGTGTGTAACGTCTTAGAACCCAATCAGAACAACTGGCTAAGGACGGACTGGATCCCTCGATCTGGAGCTCAGCGGGTCTACGTCGAAGTCAAGTTCACTTTGAGGGACTGCAACAGCCTACCAGGGGTCACTGGCACCTGCAAGGTACATGAAAACATTTCTGTCAGGTATTATCAGAGAACTCTAATCACGGTATGATCTGAGAGTTGGAGAAAGTCACAATAAGTTCTCTTGATTCTTCCTGATTTTCTTTCATGTGTAAGCTTTAAGCTTTCATCACGGATAGTTAATGTGCAGCCAGCTGCTAATGGACCTTTTATAAATGTATTACTGCTCAAGCACAAAGCTCATTTTTACTCGTTATCTTATTAAGCGAAAAGATGAATGCTGATGATGATAATTACACGGCACGGTCGCTCTTCTTTTACAAACCCAATTTTTGTCCTGTAGGAGACATTCAATCTTTACTATCATGAGTCAAACGAAGACAGAGAGAGCTACATCAAAGAGAGCAGCTTCATTAAGGTGGACACTGTGGCAGCAGACGAGAGCTTCACCCAGGTAACACCAAACAACTGAGTCAGGCTTTGAGTTCTTTGTCTTTCTTCCTCCTTTCACTTTCATTTGCAACGACGTGGAAAATAAATCCCCCTGGCACTCAAGTGTAATTTCCTTACTTGGTTTACAAGCGCTTTTATCTTGGATGTCGGTTTTGCTGTCCCAGGAATGTTGGCAGGGTGCTTTTGCTCAGACCTTCCTAAAATGTCTCCTGATTTAAGTGATGTAGACATTAAAGCTTCTTCTGCCTTTGAAATCAATAGAAGTTCATCTGAATGAGAGCCAAATGCTGAAAATGGGAAGAGCAGTAATGGTTCAACTGATACTCCCACTTCGAGCAAATTGAAAGAGCAAATTGGATTGATAAGAGCTGACACTTTTTTACTGCACATTCCATTAAAGTAGCTTCGTTCTGTTGTCATTCAGGTGGATGTCGGAGACCGCATCATGAAACTGAACACAGAGGTGCGAGATGTAAAAGTCACAACGCGGAAAGGCTTCTACCTGGCTTTTCAGGATGTTGGTGCCTGCATTGCTTTGGTTTCTGTCAGAGTTTTCTACAAAACCTGCCCACTCACCATTCGGAATTTGGCGACTTTTCCTGACACCATCACTGGCGCTGATACGTCTTCTTTAGTGGAGGTCAGAGGGTCCTGTGTCAACCAATCGGAAGAAAGAGAGGAGCCTAAAATGTACTGTGGCGCTGATGGGGAGTGGTTGGTTCCCATTGGTGGATGCCTTTGTAATTGGGGATATGAAGAGAAGAGCGGTGCGTGTAAAGGTAGGTGATGTTGTTTGTTTCCCTCCTCTGTCTCACCCATCTCAGGCTCCTCAACTAGCTTCCTTTGTGTTGACTCTCGAAAGACTCATCAACAACAATAATTAGAGCCCAGACTAACAAGTCGCTCGCAAATTATGGAAAATATTAGTTTGTGTTGATCAACCCCATCCAGATTTTCACCTAAAGGAATGCATTACGAAATTATGCGTCCAAGGGACTCTCACAAGTTCAGTAGCTGCTTGCAGCAAAGCAGAACTTTGCAGTCAACAACACCTGTTCAAAGAATTAATTTAGGTGTTTTTCTTTCTCTACACAAGTGGGATTCAAAAAGTGTTTTTCTAATTATTTGAAGCAATGTACATAGTTTTCAATCACATCCTTTGAATGGTGGAAATTGTCGGTTATAAAAGAAGTGGCCACATTATTTCATTGAGCCGGAGATAGAAAGAATACTAATGTCTGTTTTGTTTTGTTGAGCTCTGTCGTCTGTTTGTTAATAGTATATACATCATTGATACTTTAACCATACCCAATAGGGATGGGACGGTTTCTTAAAACCGTCTGAACCGTTCGGTTCGACTGTCTCGGTTCGGTTCGCGTGTGTACCGCACGGTTCATGCACTGCTCCTTTTTCTCAGAGGGAAGCGTTTACACTCCAGAGCAGAAGGGGGCGCTACTTCGCCCAAAGTCAACCACCAGTAGGAAACAAGAAGAAGAAGTGAAGCAGCGTAGCAGATAGAAATCCGACGCGCCAACAGCAGTTTATAGGTCTGCTGTATGGACCACTTTGCATTTAGAGGGAAGCACATGTTGGAATTGTTGGCACTGTTTCCTCTTTTGCAATGCCAGAATCTCACCTACTTTAACCTTAGACTGTCACAATAATGTATCAAATGTCAGACTGCTTTTTTCTTTCAGTTTTAACTAGGGATGGGGATCGAAACCCGGTTCTATCAAGGACCCGGTTCCACTTTTTTCAAAACCCGAAAATCAATAACGTTTGGGCTTATTGATACCACTATCGAGTCTGGTCGTTTTTTTATTATTACAATAGTAATTGTGAAATCCGTGTTGTAATCGGCAGCATACAAGCTAGTTAGCTTGAAAAGTAAATAAAGTTTCAGACGTGCTGCGTGATGATGTGTTCAGATTGGCTCAGTAAAACGACAATTAGGTTATCATGATGCGTTCAAGTGTAATGTAAAGAAAAGGGAAATTGAGTTTTTGGCGAGACACATGAGTAATACAGTTGTATATTGCTCTAATTATTTTAGAATATATAATTAAACTACTGATGCCAACATTTATTAAAAATTACATTTAATTTAAAATACAATTATTTATTTGTTAAATATAGTCGCATCGTCTTTCCACCAAATAACAGAAAATTATCGATAGTGGTATCGATCAAGACTCGGATCGATAAGGAGTATCGATATCAATAAATATTAACGATCCCCCATCCCTAGTTTTAACCTGACTATACAAGACATAAAAGACAATCACCATATACCGAACCGAACCGAAAACCGTGACCACGAAACCGTGAAACGAACCGAACCGTGGATTTTGTGAACCGTCCCACCCCTAATACCCAACAAGTCAGCAATGTGTAGGTTTACTGTTTTAAAAACTGGTTGGTTATAATTTACATATTGAGTAAGTCACTTTAGAGCCCTACATTAACCCCTGACCAAGCAGCTGGATTGAACTCTTAGCACAGCAGTTGTGAAAATTTTAATTTCTTTATATGGTTTCAGGAAAAGAGAACGTGTGCAATGAAATTTTAAAACAGAGTTTATACATTTCTAACCACATTGAGAGCCAACATTGGGCGTGACCACTTTTTAACGTAGAAAACGCGTTAACTCAAAATCCCCTATAGCTTTTTTAAGTAGTCTACGGGAGTGGTTCTGTAGACTACGCTCTGCCCTTTTTTTGTGGATATTAGCAGCCTTTTTAAACACATGGCGAAAAAAAGCAGCCATTTCCCAAAATGGAAGTCTGGCACAATTCAATCAAGTGATTAGATAAAAGAAGGGCCTCTTAATAATTTTTGTACCGTACTGTAAATTCAACAAAATGGTATGATTAAGTTGTTTCAACCTTTTAGGCTCTTCAAATTTGGCTCCTCAAAAATGACTAAACAATTACTTTTCATCTGCAATGAACATATCACAGTCATTTTTATATTTGTATAGGATACATGTGATATATATTTACATCTATAGACACCAAGAATTAGTTCAGAGTTTGTAAAGTGCACTTTACTGACAATTCTGAAAAAAAAACTAATTTTCACAAGATTGCAGTTGAGAGACAGTTAAGCATGACATAACGATGGAAAATAGCCATATTTTTTCTGCTGGAAGGCAATAAAATTTGTTTTGCAGCATCTCTAAAGCAAACTAATTAATGCATTATGTTGGCTGGAGTTTCCACTGGTTTGGTAATCTGATAGTGATGAGAAAATGTCAACAAATGTGCCTAATCAAGCGGTAATATTACACTCACATGCATGAAGATAACTTGTTCATGAGTGAGCGGAGGAGCTGCAGTTTGTTACCGTTGGGAACCAGGCTGGTCTTTTCCACTCTGGCTCCTCTGGTCCAGAGATGAGCTCGGACTGATGTGCTGTGGGCTGCAGAAAAGTCTTCGTGTCCTACACTGAGCATCAATAGGAGCTCCCAGTTCTCAGCGTGAAGTAGGCTGGCACAACCACTACCATCTGATCAGAAAAAAAGGCTTTTTTATGACTGACAAATTCGGTCTGATCTGTATGTTGACAAATCTGCAAGCTGTTCACACATCAACCGTTAATACACGTGGCATGGATAACGTGTAACATTTGAAAGAGTCAGCTGTGGGGAAGACTTCGTAACGTGCATATTTTTGTGACAAAGCGGGGTAAACGCGGGACAACAGACATGGTGGAGACACTTTTACGACATGACTCGACTCCCACTATTCAATCACATATGCAACAGACACACAATATGTTTATTCACGCACACACATACACAGATGGACAGGGCCCAATAGAGAGATGAGGGAGAATGACTTGCTGATCTACACCCTCAGTTTTATTTATGAAGCCTGTCCCAGCAGGCTAATTGTATAACAAACAGACCCATAACTCAGACAGAGAACAGAGGCGAAGCTAAGAGAGGGAAAGACGAAGAGATGTACATAAAGACAGAGAAGCAGTTCAGTGCCAGTTGGAGATAAAGAGCGGAGGACAAACTTTTTTGGGCTTTTTTTTCCAATCCAGTGCGAAGAATGAAGCCAAAACTCTGAGTGAAAAATATTCTCTGAAACATTCATGCGGCCTGCCTCATTTGTTTCTTCTCAAAAGAAGAGGAGGTTTGAGGGGGTGGTCCCTGAGGTCTAAAAGATGTTCCTCCTCAACTAGATTTAGGAGTTCCCCTTGACTCTATTGAACTACCAGCAGATGTGTGGTGCCATCTATCTATCTGCTGCTCTCTTCTCATTCTCTCGCTCAAACTGTCAGGGTGTTGGCTGGGAGCAGCTGCCTCAGTGGCCTCTTCATCAAAGTCTGGATGAGTGCGGGATGGTGCTCAGCAAAATCTCAGGCTCTGCAACGTCGGACAGACACCGCAATATCTCTTCTATTTTCAGTTTTAAATTTGGCAAAAGAAAGCAAAGAGTCCAGACGAGAATGGAATGTAGATACAAAGACAAATCTTTTTCTCTTTCCTCCTCACTGAGGTCAAAAGGTTGTTTTTTTATCCTCTGGCCATTTCCAAATCAGCATAACAGTCTAACATCAAGACAAAAGACTCTTCTTATGACCAAATAGGTTTAATGTGGATCCAAGGTAAATGGATAGTTCAGTGTTATCGGAAATACACAATAACTAACAGTCTGTTATTCATCTGTAATGCATTCTACTTTTTACACAAATATGTGTGTACATTTTTTAAATGAGAGGTCACGTGTTTATTGTTAAGCTTTTAAAGCCCCAATTACAGCCCATGGCCAATAATATTCAAGATTATTGATTTTAGTTATGGAGGAAATTGGAGGAAAAACATTTAATCACTTGGTTGGGAGACTGAAACTGTGGATTTATCTCGTAAGTTCTAAAAGACCTACTCGCCCAAATCTATTTATACAGATGAGTCTGCAGTTAAAAGAGAATTCCTGCAGAGATTAAAGACCTGTTGTACATGACTGATCAACAGGATACTTGGTCCCTACAAGAGAGTTGTCCCTGGAAACAATGAAAGGGATTATAGGACTTCCTCAAAAACATGACTCAACTAGGTACAAACATTTCAGCTGTTTTCAGTAGTTTGGTCTAAAATTTGGAGCAAGTGCAAACAAGATGGGAAGGCTGAAATAAGGAAACATTCAGGTCGAACAAAGATGTCAAAGTATTATGGGAGAAAGCTCAATATTTCCTAAGAGAGACAATGGTCAAAAAAAGCAAATAGGATGGTATATGAGGCAGTGTCTGTGATGGAAATGTCAAAGGAAAAGGGACTGACACATAGAAAAGCCAAATAGAGGAAAATATATTTACAGTGGTACAAAGAGAAGCACTTAGGGGCTGTGGATGATTTGGATGAAATCTGAATCAAATCAATCAAATCAAGCATATAAAAATGACGGCTTGACAAACTTGACAAACACTTTATTCCACATTCAGCATTTCTATGAGGTTGACGTCAAGAAAAGCTCTATACAAGGCATTACATCGTCAATATATAGTTTTGTATTTGTAAAATAGTTTCACATACATACATTTATTTTTTTTAAACTACGGCTGTCATAAAAGTGAGATGACCTCAAACAAAGTCACCTTAGGATTTATATGGCTACATTGATTTCATGATTTTACATAAAATGTTATAAATTACAGCGCTTTCTTTGTTTTACATTGGTATTGGTAACAACTGGAATGGAGAGTCAAGTTTTCCTCACTCTATGTGTGTTGTAATCTGAGCTTCACTATTTAGTGCTCTGGTTCAGC